GCTTTACCGGGCGCGTCCGGGGAGCGGTTATTTATTACTGAAACAGCACCAGGGTGCTGGCTGCTGGAGGTGGGAGCTCTCTAGCAGAGTGCCCCAAGTCACACTCGTGCTAACTGCTGCGTAGCAAAGAAACCTCTGCCTCTCCCACCAGCAGCCTTGATATTCAAAACCTCTGTTGCCGAAACACTGCTTCCTGTCAAGGCTGCATCAGGCTGAAAAAAAGTTGCTGAGATTTGGGTCCTGTGGCATCCCAAGTGATTGCATGTGGGAATGCTCATGAAAACAGGGAGTGGGAAAGGAAACAGGGAGATCTGCAGGAAGAAGATAGGAAGGTGAAGAAATGCTTTTCTTTCTCTCCCTGTCTCCTTGACTTTTGCTTCTCTTTCTACCTCTTCTCTCCACCTTTAAACTTTGCAAGTTTTCAGTGACTACATTTTTTTTTTAATAGCAATTGTTGCTGTCACTAATGCACTATCCCTTTCTTGTGGAGTCAGCTCTTACCAGTGTTTGCCAGCATGCATTTCTTTTGGAGTATGGCTGATTCAGCAGTACAAGGAAGTGGCAGACTAACAGAAGCCGTGGCTACTAAGGAAGTCAGAGACTCTAGGCTCTCCCCCTCTGTCCTTGGAGCAAAGCGCTGAAGCTTTTGGTATGGAGTTTCCAAACTGACAACACAAGTCACAACTTCCCCCCACCTCCCCCTCTTACAGTTTCATTAACAATATGGGGGAAAAGGGGAACATGAATCTAAAAGAGATTTACCTGGTAATTTGCATATGCATTAATTTTTTTTTTTGTAACAGAAACAAGGTATCAGCAAAACTGTTATTTTTGCTCTGGACATATGTGTAGCAAAGGGCTGTTGTCACAATTGAAGTGGCTGAAGCATGAAAGACTAATTTACAGTCCTAGTGGGGATCATGAATTCACAGAAAAATCTTTGGTCTTTTAAGAGTTGTGTATTTAATTCATACGCAGGCCAAAGCTTCTTTTCCAACTTGACCATAATTTTTCATTAGAATTGTTAAAAATCAATTTTTTTCAAAATACTATTTATTCAAAATAAATTGCTGCAGAGCATTTTACTGTGCTCTTCATGGTAGGAAATGCTTATTACACTTTCTCATTGGGGTAACCTATATAGTATTAATTGATGTAGCTAGGATATTTATCAGAGAGTTAAATCAATAAATAAAGCAAATGAGCTCGCTTCATATATGCAAAATAAAATATGGAGTAGGACACCTAAAATTCATTAATGTATCTCTGCACACTAAAAGCTTATTGAGCATTTCACAAAAAGGATGGCTCAAGTGAAACAGCAGCAGCAGTTAATACAACTAGTGTCCGTTTAAAAGACATCTTTGCTAGGTAGAAATTATTGAGTTTTTGGGACTCGGGCAACACTGCTGAAGAGGCATAAGCCATTTTAGCTGTGATGAACTTCCTCCTTTCTTTTACAGATCAAAACCAGAAGCCTCAGTCTAAATGGAGAAATTATGTCTTGTTTAATGGTTTACAGTCTTGTTAGATAAGCTAACTGAGAAACAGTTTGTGAAGGGGCCAGCTTCTTGTTTAGGGCCCTGGCTTTTAGGTTGTTTCTGTTTGGCTGAGTTTGGAAGGGTTGTTGATAGTACAACAGTTATTGATAGTTGACTAGTAGGCTTATCTCTTCTCGGGAGTTTGTTAACAAGATAATGACATCACCTGCCAGTCAGAAACCCAGCTACTTATGCTTACACATAGATAACATGGATAGAAACTATTCCCAGGAAACCATAAATTAGACTGGAAAATACAATAAACCCTGAGATCCTCTTGAGTTAGCACCTGGCTTCCTAGGAGCCGTGTTGCTGGGCTACTTTGAGTATTATTTGCTACCACTCAGCCACAAAAGGCCTGTACGCTTCATCGTGCTCTGTAAACCAGCAAGAAGAGGTTAACTTAGAAAATAAGCATATTCATGAAATCAGTAGTATATCCAGTGTCTGTGTGTCAAACATAGATTGTAAAAGCAGATCCAGATTATTCAGATTTGCCCAGTTAGAAAATTAAGTGACATCAAGCCTAACCTTTTTAAATATGAAAATTACCAAAATAGCATTCTTCTTACTTGTTAATAACTTACCTCAGACTGTCTATTTTTATAAGCTAAGCAGCACATGGTTAATTCTTGCCTGGGAAAGTGCCAGGGAAGGCTTAAATAGGAAAGGAAATACTCATTTAGTAGGTGGGCTTCTCTAATTTATTGTTAGCAATAAATATCCCGTCACACTTTGGAGAATCTTGAAGATAGCCTTAATTTTAGAGTGTCTCAGAATCTTGGTATTTTCTGGTCAATTGATACCCTGTGGAGTGCCATTTGTGAGTGTAGTGGTATTAGTTCCAATGTCCTGTCCAAATTCTGACTGAATCAATTTTGGGTTCCAAGAGACATCTCTGCTTGCAGGTCTTAAAGGTGTGTGGCTTAATGTTGTTACATGTCCATGAGAGAACAGGCATGTTTGCCTGACCAGTTTTGAAAACCTGCCTCTTTTTGGTATGTGGTAGGTACCTGTCTTGGTTGGATGTTTTAGCAGTTTTAAATTTCTCTTACTTTATAAAAATTAAGTCTATAATGTTAATATTTGAAAAGTAGTTTGGCATGGCTAATAATGCACAAACAGCTAAAGTAATTTTTTCAAAGTAAGATAATTTCAGGAAAAAGCCTCAGATACGTATTTTCCATGCAATTAATTAGATCAGTATAATTTATATATATATATAAAACCAATAAGTCCCCAGAAGTCATGCAGTGATTTGTGTTCAGTCTTAACTCTGCCTTCTGTCTCTTTGAAAAACTGGAGTGGAAGCCACTTCTTTCTTGCTATTTCTTTCCCTCCTTCCCTCCTGTTCCTCTGCTTCCCTCCCTCCCTTCCTAGTTTGCTGCATTGTATTTAGAGATTAAGTAATTTTAAATCTTTTACTACAGTATAGACTACCCTCCAGCATAACAGAGTCAAAATAATTTGTAATATTAAAAAAATTCTATATTGGTCATGTAGCTTCTCAACTGGTAGTAGTAGTACTGGCCCTTAGGCAAGGGTGGGGCACATGCTATGCTTGTCACACAGCTGTGATGAGGCAGTCCGTCATGCCATATGGTATCACACACATGCATTTGTCCTCTCATGTGTCTGATTGGCAGTTAAATGAATCTTCAGTCATCCATGTGTGGGGATCCAACATGTAGGTACTGACCTCTTTCCTCCCATATGCCTAATATATATGTACCCTCCTTCATGTGTTCTAATGACACATGACATACATGTTACTTATCACTTAACTGTGTACTCACCGTATACCCAGAAGTGCTTGCTCATATCCAGTGGGCTGATGATGGGGAATCAGCTGAGTAATACCAGAAGAATCATTATTGCTTGTAGCCTGTTTGCTGCACGCATTTTAGATTCCCTGAAGAAAGAAGGCAACAAAAATTATGCTGCTGGCCTGGAATATTGTCCCAGTAGGCCATATACTGCCCATGAGACTCATATTGCATATCCTTTAAAAAAAAAAAAAAAGTTTTAGAACTGAAGTTTTTAAAAGCCTGTCTAGCCTTTATATTATATGTTCAAACTCATTTGAAATTTTGCATACTTAAAAATGCTTTAAAACAGTATTCAAATTAAGATTTAGAGACCAGCTGAGAAGCGCTTATGTGTCTGAAAAGGAAGCTCATGACAGGTTTAATCTGTTACTGCCATCTATAACCATTTTTTTGTTTAGTGAATCCCCGTCATCAACAAAACTTGGAGGAAAAGAACTGTTTACTCACTTCATATGTATCACAACAGCATATAAATCATGCAACATAGCTCCTCAGACTTGGGTTCCTAAGCTTTCCATACAGTGTAGACCACCTTTTAACTGAAGTATAGTATTATGTATGTTTGGCCAGTCTTAATAGTGCTCTGGACCACTTTACCTGCTCTTCCTAACTTTGCAGCATCCCTAGAACAGCTACACTGTTTGCTGTCAAAAGTAACATACATAATGAAGTATAACATTTTATTCCTTAATATATGTTAGCTGCTAAAATGGCAATGTTAATATAGGCAGTCATTGACTAAGACCATTTGCAAATAATTAGATTGCTACTGAGAACCACTAATCTCAAGCTCAGCTCCTAATTCTGTGATAACAGGCGCTAAACTTTCCATCTCCCCATCTGCAAAAAGGGTGCTGTAATGCGTATCTGTGTCTGAAGAGTATCTTGAGGGTACAGATGCTTTTACACCAACAAAGGCAAAAGACCTCGGAAACTTTTCCATTCCCACGAGAGATACTTTTTATTTTTTATTTTTACACAGTGCAGTGTTGTGTGGAGAGCTAGCTCAGGTCCCAGGAGCAAGGATCTGCAGCAGCAAGTCCTCTCTCCAAG